GGTCACTGCTAAATATAAACCCCCTATTATGCCTATCGGTAAAGGCGCCTACGGCATCGTTTGGTAACTCTTTTCTTCTTCTTCTTCGAAGTATCTATTTAATTTCACTCAATTATTTGATTGATTTTTGTTGATTAATAAATTATGATTTTGTTAATTTTATTTATTTATGTTTTTCAATTATTTGGGGTTAGTTCTGCATTGAATTCCGAGACTAATGAACACGTGGCATTAAAGAAGATAGCGAATGCCTTTGATAACAAGATTGATGCAAAGAGAACTCTTCGTGAGATCAAGCTGCTTCGTCACATGGATCATGAAAACGTCAGTCACTGGAATTTTTTTGGTGGTTTCTTTTAACTTGCTTTTAATTCAATTCATTTGTTAATATTTCTTTCTGTGTTTGGTTTTATTTTATGTTTTGCTGTTCTAATGTTGTTGATGACTATGTTACTCGGACTCACGAGTGAGTGTGTGATATGGGTGTTTTCAAACAATTTTCGAACTTTTTTCTTATATTGGGAGGATCAGAACCCCGTTTGCTTTTCCACTTTGAAGTGTTAGATATGTGTCCGACATAGGTACTTTTGAGGAAAAAGAGGAAAAGAGTTAGAGCAACATGGGAGTATTCACTCACCAATCATTGAATAAACCTTAGCTCGAGAACCTAAGGAGATTACAGTTAATAACATCTCAATGATTATTTATGAGCTATGCTCAGGTATTATTTCTTATGAATGGCTTATCTAATTCATTAGCATCATTCTTTTCCAGGAATATCCAAGCTTTGAATGGACATAATTAATACGTTTCTATAATTACCAAAGACATTGCATGTTCCTCATGCTATGTTGTTAATGACTAAAGAGGAGGGATTTTTATGGTAAGTATTAGTTTGTGCTATTGTACAGCATTTAGGAACCTTAAGTGAAGAACAGAAAGTAAGATCTTTTCTATGTCACCCTGGCAGTGTTTATTTTTCTTTTTTAGACGGGAACGTTGGATCATATTTACTGATAAAAAGCCTCAAAGCCCTCAACTAAAATTGTGCTTCCAAGTAAAAGAGTGTGTTCCATCTTACATGGCTGCGCTAATCTGATTATTAAATATAAAAATATCAATTTATAACAGTATAAGTCTTGTCTGGACCAATTTGGTTGTTTGGTTGTTCAGGTTGATGACATCTTTTGTTAGATTTATGTTTTCTAATGCTATCAGTAGTGATTTTTGTTTAAACGTTAGCTTACCATGTAAACCCTTGACATTATTTGGTTATAACATGTTCTTTCTTTGTGCTGATTCTTTTTTCTCTAGTTATGAATACACACAAAGAAACATAGATAGATAGATAGATAGATAGAGAGAGAGAGAGAGAGAGAGAGAGAGAGAGAGAGAGAAAGAGAGATATCTTTTTTGGTATCATTGTGAGTTAGTCTCATTTGAATCTTTTTACGCAGGTTGTTGCAATCAGGGATATAATTCCACCACCCCAGAGGGAATGTTTTAATGATGTTTATATTGCATATGAGCTGATGGACACTGACCTGCATCAGATAATCCGTTCTAATCAAGTTTTATCAGAAGAGCATTGTCAGGTTGGAATATAGACATTGGTTGCTTTTTATGATAGAGTCATATTCCTTAAATTACTAGTTAAAGATTTTATGGTACAGCTATTTCCAGTTGACTGTGTTAATTTTTTCTTAATTTTTTCCCATCAAGCCAAGCTGGTTAGCCAGTACAGGGCTTTTCTTCTTCCTAATCACTATATCTTCTTACCTCACTGAATTGGTAATATTAGCTGCTATAAAAGCAATCATTACCCATACGTTACACTTGACAAATATGGCATAAAGAAATTTCTTAGGCTTTTAGAGAGCTAATTAGTGTACCTCAAGCCTCTAATTGTCACTAGTTGGTAGTTGATGTGGGAAAGCATGCAATTTAGGGTTTGAAAGCAAATATCTATGTTTATTGGAGGGGAAAAAAAAAGTGAGTAAATATGTGACAATTAAGGTTTCTTAAGGAATATGCTATAGTATTAATATTGGATTGAGAAGTTCAAAGTTTTGTGAAGTAGCGTAGATGCTGCCTCGTGCCCATGGACAGTGACCTTGATTTAAAGGTTACTTTTAGGGCCAACTGATGAGGGTTATTTTATGCTGGGATAGATGGTTTTGCTAGGGTTCAACTACAAAAGAAAGGCTTCAGGGTTGATTTTAGATCTGCATGATTGTCGAAATTTAAATAATAAGCAAAAAAGAAAGACATCATACTATGCTCCCCTTGATTTTCTTAGGTTTCAAGTTTAAGGTACCAAAGGCTTCATACCTAGGGTTAGAGTTGATTCATACAATTCCAAAGAAAGGCATAATTGCAAAAAATAAAGTAACCCTTAAACTTGTCCTCATGTAAATGAATATTTTATTTATTCACATAAGCAGAGTTCTAGTAATTTTAACTCTATGAAAAATTTGTGTTCTCAATAGGAAACATTGATTAGAAATGAATAAATGACTAAAAGCAACTCATGTCTAACGTAATTGATCTATACATAAGGAATATTTTTCTCTTTTTATTTTCCCAAATTTAACATTCTTAATTTAAAATTTGTCAAAAATATTGTTTGCTTTTGTTTCCAAATGTGTTTTTTTTTTGCTTTGTGCTTCCAGAAGGAAAAACCAAGTAACAAAAGCAACAACTGAACGGTACCTAAGTTAATTATAGTGCCCAGTTTTAAGGGTTACCATTTGAGCCTTAACATCAAGTTAACCTCGTTTCTTTGTGCTTTGCAGTATTTCCTTTATCAAATCTTACGTGGGCTGAAGTATATACACTCTGCAAATGTTCTGCACAGGGATTTAAAACCTAGCAACCTTCTCCTGAATGCTAATTGTGACTTGAAAATATGTGATTTTGGACTGGCCCGTGTCACCTCTGAAAGTGATTTTATGACAGAATATGTTGTTACAAGATGGTACCGTCCACCAGAACTGTTACTAAACTCTGCAGATTATACTGCAGCCATCGATGTATGGTCAGTGGGTTGCATTTTTATGGAATTGATGGATCGGAAGCCATTATTTGCTGGAAGAGATCACGTGCATCAGCTGCGATTGCTTATGGAGGTAAATCTTTTTTATCCTCGAACCAATTAAAATTATCTAAAATACAAACAAATAGGTTGCTAAATAAGATGCTGTGAGCATTTTAGGGAAAAAAAATGGTAAACTAAAAAATGCTTGTAGTATTTCAGCATGAATAATGAACTTTTTGCCTTGCAGCTAATTGGCACCCCATCAGAGGCTGAGTTGAGGTTTTTGAATGAAAATGCTAAGATATACATTCGGACACTTCCTCATTATCGCCGGCAATCTTTCACTGAAAAGTTTCCAAATGTCCACCCTTTAGCTATTGATCTTGTTGAAAAGATGTTGACATTTGATCCCGGACAAAGGATTACTGGTGAGTTTGTAGCAGAATAGAAGTTTCTCACTCTCTCTCTCACATGGATATGCCTGTTGCCATGCAGCACATCATTTACTATTCAGTGTGTGTTATACTTCTTCACAATTCTCTTACAAAAGTTTGCCAATGCATGCAAAATGGTCACAATTAGGTTAGTTGTCATTGTCTTGTTGTAGCAGATACCATGTTGCAATGTCTTCGTTCTGAGTTGGAACTAATGTAATTCTACTTCCTATTTGTTGCAGTTGAGAATGCACTTGCTCATCCCTATCTAACGTCACTGCATGATATAAGTGATGAGCCTGTGTGCATGACCCCCTTTAACTTCGACTTTGAGCAGCATGCATTAACTGAGGAGCAGATGAAGGAGCTAATATATCGGGAGGCACTTGCATTCAACCCAGAATATTTGCAGCAGTGATGAGTCATATGCCATTTATTGATTGTGGCTTTGATCATTGTGGTTAAAATGCTTTAGTTTTCGGTGAGTGATTTCTTCCTGTATATATGTTCCATCCAGAACAGGATGGCTCTTGAATTGAGATATTCAATCATGGGCAGAATGCAGGGAACAAAAACAGTTGTATTGGTGTTTGTACCGGCTTTCTTGATTTCTTTTGGTGTTATATATCTGTTGAATCGAGCCAACTTTTGACTCTCATGTTTTTTTCTTCCCCACTTAAAAGACATTCATGGTCGAATGTAGCTCCTCTTCTCGTACAGCCTCCTCCCATGTAAGCCACCTGTCTCCGAAGCTAGGGTAAACGAACAGTTCGTTGTTTATGTTCATTTATCAAGTTTAGTAAATGATTAAGAACAACATTTAAACATATGTTTATTAAACAAACAACCTCAAGTTTCATTAGGTAACACCTCTGCATAAGATTAAAGCAGCCAGGTACAAGAAGCGTCCGAAACTGACTCAAGGCAATGTTTTCACAATTAAAACTCGTCAATGGCCATTCTACTGATGATCAATTGTGTCATGTCGTATATTAGCAGTAATAGATTTGAGTCTAAAGGCCAACTTCAGAGTAGCCTATAAATGTTTTTTAATGCAAACGGTCAGAGAGAGAGCGAGTGATTGGTTAAAGAAATTTAACAGGTTTCAACAAACACATGTCATACAATTCATCGAAGTGCAGGACTACATGTAGAAATGAAGCAGAAATCAAAAGCCAACTAAAATAGAAAAACAAAGGAATTAAACATATCATTACAAGCTCTTAATTCAGAAAGGATGGAAGAAAAATCATTTTCTACTGCAGGAATTCTGTATCAAGTACACAAACTGTATTTTTATCATGCCATTAACTCTTCAAACTCTCAAAAAATCTTGAAAGTGGCACAGGACCTTCAGCTGCTTCATTATCAGTGCTTGAGTTTTTATTTCTTGATTTCTGCTTCTTTTTCTTATATCCCTTAGACTTGGACTTTGATCGTCTTGGTTCTCTCTCTTCATCATCACTAGAATATTCTGATGATGAACTGGAGGAGCTAGAGTCGGAAGAACTCCGCCTTGAACGCTGCATAAGTCAAGGTTTAACAAGTATGCTTCGGTTTACATTTTCATAATAACAATAATAATATAAGGGATAACACAATTTGGTTCTGTTTCAGACTATGCTTCTATCCTATTATGGGTCCATAAATTTCAGCTATATCTGATTTATGAGACATCAAAAAAGTCCAAGCAAAACCAGAAAGGTTCACCAAACAGAATCACACAAACAATGTTCTTAGCATACCGGATAAAAGATTCAATCAACTATTCATTTTATCCTCTCCTCCCATATGCACCCTCAAAGACAGTGTCCAGGTAAACCATGCCAGCCACCAGTCCATCACTCCACTCTGACTTCAAAATATGTCCAAACTTTTCCTAGCCTTTCCCAGCCTAACTCAAAACACAATAAGCCTAATAAACAGAAATCAAAAGAAGATTATTCACAAATTCCTTCAACTTAGCCTAATGACAGTAATATTTGTTCTTCACTAAATTTTCACCTAGAAATGCTGCCACCTTCCTTGCTTAGAGGATCCATCATACACTCCAAGGCTGTCTGTTCCTAATCTTGCCTCAAACACTTACAATACGAACTCAACAACTTATTCCTCCCAACCTTGAGTGGCTTTCTCATAAATCAAATGTCATTCCTTTATTATTGCCTGCTCATCACAAGTAGCCAGAAATCAATGAATTTTTTTTTTTTCTTAGCAACAGACAACTGATATGGAAATGACACTTTCAAAGAGCTAACATCATTCCCACCATAAACAATGCCATGGCAAACTCTTCCCCACAATCAATAACCTCAACAGTCACATAATAAGCAAACTCATCCAACCATCTGACAGTTTAACAATAGATTCAGTACTCAGTAAAACCACATTTAGTCACCATGAGTCTCCTTTACGTGTTATCTCTTTAAACTCCAAATCACCACATCCACTTCTCAAATTGTCAAGTTAAACTTTCAAAACTAGGGAAGGCATCAGCAAATATAGTCCTATCTCAAACAGAAACTATTGTTATTGAAATTTACATGCAGAATATAGAGCTCCCTTATGACAGGTGAGTGATATAGATGCAAAGCTTAAATGGTGGTTGTAATCTCATCATCGATAGTACGAGAAAAGAACTAAGATAGCTTGCATATTAAAAATTAAAATCTCAACTTCATCATACTTTCATTTCACATGCAAAGCATAAAATTTGAATCATAAAGTTGTTAGAAACTATATGTACCTTTCTCTTTTTGCTGCTGCGCTTCTTTGCATCTTTGTCTTTTCGATCTGCAATGAAGTCAACACCCTTAAAGAGCAAGAAAAAGAGATAGTAACTATAGCACATGCATGAAAATAGTGGCCTCTTTAAGGACTTTTACACATACCCTTTTTATGGCTAGATTTACTACTGGAGTGGTTTCTACCACGTACAAGCTTGTGAGCCCTTTCAGCATCTAGCTGAGCTCTATACTCTCTCATCATTCGATCTGTATCTGCTTCTAATTCCCCCTTTCTCAATGCATCTTCCTAGCATATGGACAAAATAAACAAACTGATGTTACAACCCACCTTATGAGTCATTTTGTTTATCAAAATCCAATAGACTGCTGGGCTAGCAATGCAATTTCATGACCAGTCTAGTCCAGAGAATAATCCTATGGTCATCACATTTAGCAAATCAACAAATAACTTCAACACAGAAACTCCTTCCAATTTAAGGGATCTCTGCAGCAGCTTAGTGCCTCATCTGTATTTTGTTTAATATCAGTCCAATGCAGCTCAGTTGCAGATGTTTGAAACGAGTATCATTATGGCATGGTTGTGATTAACTAATAATGCTATTGGACGGTATTATGGCCAACTAACTCAGTGACAAAGATTTAAAAGCAAAGCAGCAAGCTTCTCCAAAATGCACAAAGGGCTAAATTGATAAACTGCTAATATAGTTTTTTTTTTTCTATACTGACATTAATAACATAATTATTTTGAACTAATAATTAAGGAGAAAGCACGTATGTTTTGTGGATCATTTTTCAGAGATTTAGTCATCTGAATCACTAAGTAGATAAATTTTTATACAGAAAAGAAGAAATAGGAACTCAGTTGATTCTTAATGATTTGTCCCACATATACATTTGCATATGCTTATCTAACAACAGAAACACACAATTCATTTGGTATGCATCTTTATACGATTAAATACCAATTCATAAATACCTTAGCAAATTTTACAACAAGTCAAGATGACAAAAACAAGGCGGAAATATTGTATATCTTACCTTTTGTTTCTTTTTAAACTCTTCCCAGGTAACCGTGTGAGAAGTTTTAAGGCTGGCCAACCGAGCAGCATGCCACTCTGGTGAATGAAAAGAACCATCCACCTGAGATTTTCCTCATCAGAAAAGCTCCGGAGAACGAAACTTATTCAGAATACAACTAGCACATTGGATAATCCAATAAAAGTCTAAAATCTAATTACAAAAAAATTTTTAAAAAAGGGCAAACTTTTTTCATCAAAAATCAATTTGTAGCCAATGTTCTTTAAGTTCTTCATCAAACAATTCAGAGTTAGCGAATATAATAGCTATCAAGCAACAAAAGGACTTAATAGTTATAGACCAAAAACAAGTTCATAATAATTACAATGATTGCATACTTAAAGAAGCATAAGACTTATTACACTGATTTGTAACCTAGAAATAAGAAAACATAGTGATGAATTCAAAACCATAAACTAACTCATCATCAAATCAAGATTAGAATGATGTAAAACAAAATAGAGAAAATTTGTTTGAATATGGAAGGGTACAAACCATGCCATCATCGATCTCTTCAGGGCCAGCAGAGTTAGAGCCAAGCCTGGCTCTTTGCATAGCCTTGTAGGTTTGGTTTTTCCCCATTTTCAGAAATACCCAGATTAAAGAAACCCCGGAAAATCGAAAGAAAGAAGAAAAAGATTTTTTTTTTTTCTGATGTTTAAGGTATTAAGGGTGAAAATCCATATTAAAGGAAGAGAGAATATAGGGATTTGTACACAGCAAAGAGACTGATTTGGGAGAAAGGAGGGATGGAGGGGAATCTCTAGTTTTTTCGTTTTTCTTTTTTTTTTCTTAAAAGTTAAATGAGAAAATTTTAATTATTTATTAAAAATTAAAATAAAAGGAAATAAAAAAAATTAAACATAATAGAGCCAAAGGTATCTCAAAGGATTTTTTTTTTTAGTAAGATAAATTTGAAAATAAATAAATTATTTAATCTTCGTATTAACATAAAATTAAATTATAAATTATGTATTTAAGATAATTTTAATAAATAATTATTAATAAGATTTAAATTCAAAAATTTTTATTAAAAAAATTAATTCAAAATTAAATAGAGTTAAATATTATAAGAAAGATAAATTTTTTTAAATTTATTTTTTTATTTACAAATTTTAAAAATAAAATTTTATTAAAAAAAATCAAATTTTTTATCATTTGAAATAATAAAAATTAATATTTTATTCTTTATTTTATGAAGAAGGTATCTAAGCCACATCAATCTCACGTCATTGTTTACATGAGCTAACTTGCATAACTATATTTCATTGGCAGCGTTTTGATTTTCTGATTTTAATTACTATCTTTCATCATCAATTATTCTTTCCTCTTTCTCTTTCATGTAAAAAAAATTCAAAATCCCTACCAATTTTTTATATTGCCAAAACTAATTTCAAAAGAGACAACTTGCCGACTCTTTTTTTATTTTTTTTCAAAACTGCCATTCTAGCCACACAAATTTATTAAGAGTTACGGGCTTAGTATTTAATAGGTAAAAGATTAAATCATGTTAAGGAACCTTGTGAAAAAAGAAAAATAGAGGCGGGCTCTTCAATAGTTTTTACCGGCAATTTGGATGGTAGTAAAAAAATAAAATCGTCAAGTTGTTACGGTAAAAGTAAAGTACTAAAGAATTAACAAATTCAAAAATAGATTAACAATGCCCTGGCCATACACAATTTAAATCGGGTTTAAATTATTTGATTTTATCTCTTTACGTGAGAATTTCTACCTCTTCATGAGATTTCGTCCTCTTTTGGTGAAAAAAATTTTTTCTCCCTCGTTTATTTTTGCTTTTTTCGTCATTTAGAGTCCAATCTTTACAATTTTTCTATGAATCTATTGATGTTTAAGGATAAGTTTTGCTCTAAGACATATTGTTTTCTTCATTTTTTTCACCTTTCTTGTTCAGTTCGTCTTTTTTGGAAAATTGTGAGCTAAGATTTGCTTTGACAGGGTGACAGAAGATTTCCACTTTTGTTATCATAATTTCATTTGTCATTCATAATCGATCGGATTCGGATCTTCTTGGGATGGAGGGGGATTCGGAGATTAATCTGGAGTTGGGAAGTAGTGAGCTAATAAAGGAAACGCAGTTTACGTTAGTGGGAAAAATATTTACTGACAAGTTTCTAAACAGGAGAAGGGTAATAGGAGTGATTCAAAGCATTTGGCCAATTAAGAAAGTAAGTGGTGGGGTAATAGTGAAAGTAAAAATTGAGGAGAATTTTTTCTTAAAAAAAAAAAATTTCAACTCTATGGTGCATGGTAGCTTTGATAAAGCATGTAGGGACAGACAAGAGGCAAAGAGCCGCAGAAACTGTTAGTGATTTTGGAGTAATTCGTTTGGTCTTTACTCTTACAAGTGGATGGATTTCAAGTAGACTTTGGAATTATGAAATTTATCATCTTTCTATATTTCAGAATTGATTTTGTAATAATGCAAAGGCCTTTTGTGATTAATAACATAATTGGGTCAAAATTGTACATTATTACATACTTTTTTTTACGCCCATTGTTATGAAATAACTTTAAATGATAGTAGTTTTATTAACAATTGAAATACTCATAATTAAACCCACTTTTGGATCAAATTTCGAACCAAAGATGAAAAAGATAAATCCACCGCTCCAGCATGCTCGGTTAGTGCCCATTTGCCTTTTTTTTTCGCGACATTCAAAATTTGTGGCATGAATGCTTACCTTTCACGTTCTTTTTAGTGACAAAAAGAGAATTAAATGAACACTTTTTTTCTCAAAAACAGAAGAATAAAATTTTGTTCAAGCCTTTTTATTGGTGCCTTTTTCTCTTTATTTTCTCAAAAGCCTATGAATATTCTGTCTTTTCGGTGCCATTAAAAAATTTTAGATAATTTTATTTAAAACATAGGGGTAATATGGTAAAAGCAGGATGGCTCGGGTAATACTTACAAGGTGGAGAATTATTCTCATTCTATCTGATCCGAAGGATGACTGAGAGTAGCCCGTGCGGCCCGAAGACCAAGAAACTGAGACGTGTCGTTTTTCAAGCATTTGGGGATTACGCGAATCACGGGTTGGCTTTTATGCACTCATTCTCGTCTTTTTGAAATTTGTACGACGCCATCGATTCTGTTCAGCTGGTGTGTTTTCACCGACATCTTTAACGTCGTCGTTTTTGTCCCTCTTTTGCACCAGGAAGTTTTTTTATTTTGTTTTTTTTTTAAATAAAGGATCTTTTATTATACTTTTTGCATTGCAAAATTCAATGGTTACCAGCAACGTGCTATGACGAATAAAACCACATTTGGATTCTACCGCGGTTGCGATGTTTGTAATCGCACCATTTTTTTATTTGAATAACAAACGTGTTTTGGTTTATCGTGGTATGGCTCGAGTCATACACTGGCCTCTTACAGGTCTAGTGGAGAAACGCAATTTTCAATCGGAATTTTTTTTTTCAATTTTAATCCTCTTTTCTCTTTTTTTTTTAATTTTTTTAAAATTTTGTTTTACTTTTAATCTTTGTATTTAAAAGTTTTTACAATTTATTTTTTGATAAAATCATATTATTTTTTATTATTTATTACTTGATATAAAAATAATTTTTTAATTATTTTTATTAATTTATAAATATTTTATAATTTAAATTTTTATTATATATAAATTTTAATTCAATATCTTTAATAATTATTTTTCTTTTAACTATAATTCATCTTATTCTTAGCGTTGCATTTGCATTCAATTATATATTTTTATTATTAATTTTAATTTTATCATTATAATAATTAATCTTATATCTCTATTATTTTTAATTTTATCATTCGTCTAAATAGATTCTAACATTGTAACTTTTATCAATTAAAAAAATTTAAATTAAGAATAATATCAAAATTAATGATAAATTTAGATATTACGATGTCGAAGTTGTATGAATATAATAAATAAGGTTTATTATGAATTCATTAGATATAAACAAATGAAAATAGTTGCATATTTGAAAATAATAAAAAATACTTTTGAATTTAGGCACTTAATTTAATTCATTTTAATCAAGTTTAAGTACATATAAATTTTTTTTAATTAAAAAAATCTATCTACCTCATTTAAGTTCCAACACATTAATTTGTTATTGTGGAAAAACATTTAGTTACAAATGGTTGTATTTTGTAATCTGCTAATCGTAATCTATATATATCTGTATCTCTAAAATTGAGAATTTGTATCTCTAGAATTAAGGACAGACTATCAAGATAGACAATTCCTTGATTATAGGGATTAGATTTAGGAACATTTAGTTTCCTAGTTTACTCTCTAGTTAGTTGTATTTAAATCTATGGTGTTTGTATGATTCAATACACAAGTTTTCAATATACTCTCATTTTTTCACATGGTATCAGAGCTTTAGACTTTTCTTGTGAAGAAAATTTTTTTTAGCCTTCATTGTTGAATTTTTTTAAGCCTTCATAGCCAAACTCTGTTAAGTCTGCCATACTTTTATTTTTTTTTGTTTTTTGGCCTTTATTGCCTATACTCGTTTCAGTCTTGAGAAAGGTAATCATGCCAAAAATAGCAGAATCTGTCGCTACTACTCGATTTGAAGAAGTAACAATTGGTCAAACCACAGGGGAACTACAGAATATCTAAGCTACATACAGATTGAATGGAAAGAACTACTTGAAGTGGTCTCAGTTGGTTCAAACATTTCTAAAAGGAAAAGAAAAATTGAGCCATCTTCTTGGCACTGGTCATGAGAAAGGAGATCCAAAATTTGAGGCTTGGGATGAAGAGGATTCTATGGTTATGTCATGGCTATGGAATTCTATGACGCCAGATATTAATGACACTTGTATGTTTTTGTCCATGGCTAAGATGTTTAGGAATCAATTCGTCAAACCTATTCCAAAGTTAAAGATGCTGCTCAGGTCTATGAGGTAAAGATCAAGACTGTAGCTCTCAAACAAGGGAATAATCAGTCACAGAGTATGCTATTCTTTTTAAAAATCTTTGGCAAGAAATGGATCACTATCGGTGCATAGAAATGAAGTGCAATGAAGATGCAATAACTTTGAAGAAATTTATTGAAAAAGATCGAGTGTATGATTTTCTTGCTGAACTGAATGTTGAGTTTGATCAAGTCAGAGTCCAAATTTTGGGAAAACAGGATCTGTCTTCTTTAAATGAAGTGATATCCATGGTTAGAGTAGAAAAGGAGTGATGCTTGACAGTGTGCATGTGAAGGATCTACTATGGTCTTTAATGGTGGGAAGAACCAAAGCTTAGAACAATTACCAGTCAGTGAGAATGGGTAAGGTGATTCGACTAAAACTTCAAATCGCGACAATCTTTGGTGCACCTATTGCAAGAAACCAAGGCACACCAGAGATCGTTGCTGGAAACTACATGAAAAACCTTCAACTTCAAGCAAAAAATGGGATTATAAAGGAGGATAGCCAAGAAATCAAGGACAAGCTCACATGACTGCAATGGAGTTAAACCAGGAGAAGTCTCAGGAACAAAGAGAGTTGGATAAAAAAGAGATTGAGAAACTGAAAAGCCTATTGAAAACTCTTGAAAAGGTTACTGGTGTATGCTCCTTGGCACACTCAGGTAAGGACTCTAATGCAGGTAAAGTCTCTAATTCTCATGGATTAAATGTCTCATATAAGTCCATTAAGGGTTCTTGGATCATTGACTCAGGAGCTACAGACCACATGACACTTCTTCACAAAAGTTTAGTACATATACCCTATGTCCTGGTAAGAAGAAAATTACTATTACAGATGGTTCACTTACTACAGTGACAGGATTAGGAGATGTCCAAATTAATCC